GGCCGCTCACTGTAATGGGTGTCACTTCGTAGAGGAGGTGCAGATCAGTGGACAGACACAGCGATACTTTGGCTTTGTTTAGTTCGTTGAGAATGAAAGCGCCGTCTTTTGGCGATACACCCGACGCCAGAACTGCTTTCCCGAACTGAGTGGGCGTTATCTTCCGGTCCTGACTGTCGGTGTCGGTCATACTGTGGATCAGTTTCTCGTCCACCAAATAGGCGATGATGTCTGTTATGATGGTCTCCGTCACGGCGTTCGACGATATTGACGCCAAGAATGACTTCTGAATGTACTGCGAGACGTCTTCATAATTGTTGGCCATTCCGTTGGCGATTATCTCCAAAATAGCTCTTTTAATGCCGCCAAACGACTGGTCAGATATGGGCGAACCGTCGATGGGATTAATACCCATTAAACAGCTGGAGATTGGGCTCAGACTTGATTTGAGCAGTTCTTCGCCTTTCGCGCGATTACTTTCCGAACACATGAGTATACTCTCACCCATTGTGTCGACCCCTTGACGGCCAGCCCTACCAATCATTTGTCTGTAAGACATCACATCCATCATAGAGTTCTTGAAATCGAGCGGCGATCTGATGATAACGAGTCGCGCCGGAAGGTTGACACCGGCCGACAGCGTGGAAGTGGCGCACAATATCTTAATCACTCCGTCGCGAAAGGCCTGTTCAATGATACAGCGCTCGTCGATGGATAGTCCCGCGTGATGGTAGGCCACACCGAACCGAAGGTTGGCCACAACGCCCGGATCGGCACCGGCCGGACATTTCTGCAACTGCTGTAACAATTGTTCAATTTTATTGAAATCTATGGCAGTTTTGAGTTTGTTTCTGAAGTCTTGGGTCGATTTGTTGGCCACTTTCTTCCCGGAGCCCAACTCCCAGATGTTTGAGGCCAGAGTTCGGCACAGTTTCTCGCACTGGGCTTTCGTCGCGCAGAACACCACTGAACCCAAACCACTGACCAGTGTTTCGATGGCCAGAAACAATAGATTCGTGTCGTCAGAGCCGTCGCTCTTCTTGATATCGTAGTCTTTGATGTCGAGCCGTCGGTATTCGGCCATCGTTTTGGCGTCATATACAACGTCCCCGATGTTGACCCTCTCGTACAGCGGCACCGGACGGAAGTCAGTCACATAGAGAGCGGCGTTCAACCACTTGGCAATGGCGTCCAGATTGGGTATCGTCGCCGACATACCCACGATCTGTATCTCGTGTCCCATTTTGCTCTTCAAATACAACACTTTCGTCAACAGTAGTTCCAGAAGAAAGCCTCGACTGTTGTTCCCAATCATATGCAGTTCGTCGACGACTATTAAACCGATTTCATTCAGTTTATTGTCTTCAATGAGTCTTTTGTAAACAAAACAAAAATACACTAAATATAGGACTCGTTTCGGAAACGCAAACAAAAAACACTTCAAAACCAAATCAATCAATCAATGCATTACTTGTTAATCATATTATTGGCCTTTTCGATGGTACAGACGGCCACATCGACTCGGGCCAGACCTCCGCGAGGATTGACACCGCCCGCGAAGGCGTCCACATTGACGCCCACCGCCCGCAGCACACGCTTCAACGTAAACACCTTCTCCTGAGTGACCGAAACGAAGGGCAATATAACGATCGCCTTCTTCTTGTGTTCCAACAACTTCTTGTACATCAGTATATCGGAGACCATTGTTTTGCCGGCACTCGTGGGCGCAGAATACACCAGATTCCGGCCCTCCAGCACACCATCCATGTTAAGACACTCCACCTATACGTCAATTGATTAATAAAATGGTTAATTAAAAACCACAACAAGTGTGACACGAGTCACGTAAAGCCAATACACAATACCTGCCAATCAAACAATTTGGTGATCCCTTTGGACGCGTAAAACTGATGGATCCGTTGCGGGAAACTCCAGTTGGACAGCAAATTGCGGTCAAAATTGGCGCTAATATTGCTGACCGAAGAGTGGCTGCTGTTGTCGTCAAACGAGTAGTTAATGGTATACTTCTGGTCAGACTTGAGAGCGTTGGGCACCCGATGACGGCCCCGACTCCGGACGAGCCCCGGCTGTCGTACCGATCGTTTCTTATACATGTGTTTCTTGTTATTACTCTTGTTATTAGCGAAGACATTATTAGCGGTTCCGGCGGTGTGTTTGTCCATTAAGACTATCATTCAATTCAAACACCAGTTTTAAAATCACATTAAAAAACACGTAAAAAATCTAAAAACCAAAGTAAACATCAATTAAAACTTCAAATCAATCGCTAAATCAAAAACAGTTTTTGAATGCATTTTAAAGTATGCTTTCAATGCATATCTCAATCACGAGTTGTATTAAAACTAATCCATTGTTTTAAATGCATTGCTTTTAAACAGTGTTTACAACTGTTATGTAATTTGAGATTAAAAACAATTAAAAAACTTGACGTCAAACACAATGTTTACATATAAGCGGACAAAACCCCTAAACCCACCGAAAAGGGGGGCAAAAACCCCACAAAAAACGGTCAAAATGTGGTGAAAAAACGGCACAAAACATACACTAAAATCCCCGAAAACATTGACCACTCATTCAAAGCAATGCATTACAAAAAAGGCATCATTTTTAGGGTATTTTCGGCACAAAATATTGCGTCAAAACTAAATAAAACCAAAACCACTTGTTTTACCTCATATTCACATCACGTTTATTATGGCATAAAATCAACTCTTAGTAATGCAATCATTGTTAGCAATAAATAAACTAAACGTTTAATTCATTAAATCCATTAAATTGTGTATAAAATTCATTATAAATTTAGTGTTTATTTAAAACTATCTGTGATTTAAAAATTGCCACAAAATAAACGGTCGCTTTGACTCCACCCACGCTTTATTGTGGGTCTCACAGACATTACGTTCAATTTGTTACCCATTATGTAGTAATTACGTTAATTTGATCCAGATTCAATAAATAATCATGATTTACACAATTTGTTAAATAAATAAATCATATATTTATTATAGAGATTGAATACAACATTAATATTTACATAGAATTTAATGCTTAATCATAATAGTTGTGATAGAAATGCATTTGCAATCATTGTCTGAAGCGCTTAAACAGGGGATGTTTGTGGTCACCCTTCGGACCCGCTTTCTTCTTATACTCCATATAGACATTATCGTCGGCCCCAGAAATGGAGCTCATATTCCCGGCTTTGCGCACAAAACCGGCGGCGCCTTTGAAGCCCGAGTCAACGCCGGGGACCCTCTCCTCTTCGGCGTCGGCATCGTTGGCCTGAAGGACCTGTTGGAGCAGCGATTGCTGTTCCTCTTTGGACTTGTAGAACAGCTCCTCCTCATCCATACCCTTCAAAGTGGTGAATGTTTGTGGAGTCGAGTGCGGAAACAGTGAATTTGTGGCCAATTTTCAATTCATTGAACACAGTTTTGGTGACAACGGAACTGTTGGTCGAAACATCCGATTTGTTGTCCAACGAGTCGTCAGAAAAGGGCGGAAAACTGTCGTCCGAAAGAACATTAGAGATATCGGACGCTGAAGAATGCGATCGTTTGTTCAGTCTTTCGGCCATCATTTTGCCCGAAGGACTCGGACTCGACGATCGTTTGGACGAGTTATCTGACTGTCGACTGTTCAGCGTATCGCCCGAAGTGTCCGGACTCTGACATCGTTTGTTCAACAGATCGGTACTAATAGTAGACAAGTTCTTCATCGAGATATCATGAATGCTATTCATTTCGCATTCGTTATGGCTTTCATTAATTTTGTTGAGATCACAGTTAAGTCGATCCCAAGAAATGTTGTCTAAACTGTCGCCCAAATCAAAACTGGATTCCTCTTTAACTTTTGGTTTATCACAATCGGCTAAAAATGAGTTTTCCAACTGTTTCTCAGACACTGTCCTCAGTCTCGAAGACCGACTGCTATGGTGTGCAGCAATTGGTGTCGAAGACATGACATTCTTCGAAGTCGACGGCTTATTGGCGTCCAATTCTTCCTCTAATCGAAGAGAAGATACAAATTATTTCATATTTCAATACATATTCAGTCAATAAAGGCGTTACATATCAAGTGTTAACTTTGCCTTTCGCTTAATTTATGCAATAATTATAGCAAATAATAAGCATTTAAATAATTAATATTTAATTTAATTATATAAATATTGATATTATTTTATATTAAATAAATCTATAAAATATAATACATTTAGAAAATTATAATTAGACAGAAAACATATAACAAAGAGTGACACAAAAAGACATTTATAAATCATTATTAAATAACTTAAGCGAAAGAATTTGAACTAAAAATGTTAAATGAGTTAATAATAGCGACAAATATGAGATTTACGGTCAATTCTAGAAGTGTTAATGTTGTCCATCGGCGACACAACCATCGACTGCAACGGTTCAGAAATATGCGCATGAGATCGGCTCACATCACAGCTATTATTATTATCACAATTAGTGGCCACCGATGGCGCCGATTCCTCCACAAAAGACATGTCCTCAACACTGTCTTCGCGTTCAACACAATCCACGTTCTCTTTAGTATCACTCAAAGTCTGTTTCACGGGTGACACGAGTTTCGTAAACCTATTGTTCGGCGCATCGTTTGACTCGTCGGTGAAGTCCTCGAGACAGCGGTCGCCGACGCCTGTACTGGCGCTGCCGTCGCTCGATATTTGACTCAAATCATACACTTTAATACCAAGATCTTTGTTGATGAGTTCGCGGGCCTCAAAGACCATGGCTTTGGCCATTTCGCGCACATTCATGGCTTTGTTGAGCGCCGGTAACCACACGACCGAAGCGTCGGCCGCTTTGCTCTTATCAAACGGACCGCTATTCATGAGCGCCAGCTCTATGTCGGAGTAGTTGTCAACGTTGGCGATGGCGACCACTGTATCGTATTTGTTATTATAGAGGACTCGGGCCACACACGCGTTCAGACTCGTGATACGCATCAGATCTATGAGTTCCCGTTGGACGCCGAAGAACAGCCGACTCTGGAACTGCTCG